ATTACTTGCCTCGTATCTTCTCCAATTTCATACGGGGAAAGTTAAGATAGACATTGAGTGTCGCTCAAACCCTATTGGTAAGTGGTACGAAGTGACAGAATCATACCGATAGTGCATAAAGTTTGGAATTTGTAGGGCATTTAATCTTGTAAAATGGTTGTTAGGTACTATTAAATTACCATTACCAAGAATTAAGAAGAAGAGCTGATAATTGACTATGAAGAGCACCGAATAAATTAGTAGGGTAAAAGATGACGATTATACAGCGTACGCCCGCCTTACCATTAAAACAGATTAAAAAGTAATCGTAAACGATTTACATAAAGCGCATTTCCACTTGCATTCATTTCCCATTTGTAAGATGCAACTTCTGTAAAATCGTAAAATCCGCCACAAATATGAAAGATAGCGTTGCACATGGGCAATCCATTGTTGACGTGCTACTTCAATTCAGTTTATGAGAAGAATTTCATTTCAATGCTTTTCTAAATAAGAAAGTTGGAACTGCGCATGCGCAAACCTAAATTTTAAAACTAATGTTAGATTTTTCCTTTGTTCCAAGCGCCTAATTTATCAAAATTTCACTTAAATAGTTTCCATAGATAAAAAAGTTGGCACGAGCGCATGCGCAAAATAAAATTTTTGAAACTGGCGCTAGATTTTCCTTTATTCCAAGTGCCTATGTATCACATTTCATTTAAAATTCTTCCATAAATAAAAAAGTTGGCACTGCGCATGCGCAAAACCAATTTTGAAATTGGCGTTTGATTTCTTTATCCAAGTGCCTATGTATCAAATTTTCGTTTAAATTCTTCCATAAATAAAAAAGTTGGCATTGCGCATGCGCAAAACCAAATTTTGAAATTGGCGTTTGAATTTTCCTTTATTCGAAGTGCTTCTGTATCAAATTTCGTTAATTCTTCCATAAATAAAAAAGTTGGCACTGCGCATGCGCAAAACCAAATTTTGAAACTGGCGTTTGATTTTCCTTTATCCCAAGTGCCTATGTATCAAATTTCGTTTAAATTCTTCCATAAATAAAAAAGTTGGCACTGCGCATGCGCAAAACCAAATTTTGAAATTTGCGTTTGATTTTCCTTTATTCCAAGTGGCTATGTATCAAATTTCATTCAACTACTTTTATAAGTAAAAAGTTTGCAATTCGGTTTTTAAATGGTCGAGATGCGAAAGGGCACTGTGAATTTTGAATCGATTCGATTCAACTTTTTGGCATTGCGTATTATAGGTTAAAGCTATGCCCATATTTGAATTTCATGCAATTCAGTTCATAACTAACGGAGAGATGTAAAAGCGACGCGAACATTTCTAAACAAAGTTATCGTTCACACGGGACAGATAGATGGACAGACAGACAAAGGAACAGACGGACAGACCAACAGGAGACGACAGATAGCAATGCAAAATTATAAAAGATCTCTTGGATCGTTAATAAACGGCAAAAGTGTAAAATTATGGAACATGTAAAAAACGGTTTTTTGTTTTTTTTTAACAATAACTTTTTTTGTAAGCGGTACAGAAAAAATTCCTTCCTTGGTACAAGACTCGACACAATAACGAACCAAATAGCGAAAAAAGTAGAACAATAGCTCTTAAGATAAAAAACGTCGCAAAGTTAGCGGACGGACGGACGGACGGACGGACGGACGGACGGACGGACGGACGGACGGACGGACAAAGTGGCCACAATAGCGCATTTTTTTTTATTTTTGTGGAAATGCGCTAAAAAAGAGAAATGGAAGATGGCATATTGATTTCTTCTGCGTCAGAGTGCAGTAGTCAAATTGTAGTAGCAAGGAAGATAGATGGACCGACGAGACTATGTGCATACTACAGAAAAATAAACAGGGTTATCGTAACCACTATTGAAGATGTGCTCGAGCAGCTCCGAGATGGAGCAGCAATAGACTTGAAAAACGACATGGACGTTGAAGAAGAAAGTCAAGGTATACATATTTAATGGCATTATGATGGCAGTATTGATCCCGAAAAGTACCATTTGCTTTGTGTAATTCCGCCTTTAGCATTTCAAAGATTTATTGTGAGCTTTATGTTTCGAAAATGGATTAATAAGAAAGTGGTACTGTTGTATATGGACGATTTGGTAATACCTGTAAAGATTATCGAAGAATAAATCGAAAGCCTAAAGCTTGCGCTTAGAACAGCCAAAGCTTACGGTTTGAAAATCAACAGAAAGATATGTGAATTCTTTAAAAAAAGAATGAAGTTTTAGGGCACATTTTCGACAATAGCAAGCTGTACCCTTCTCCTAGCAAGACGGTAGTCGTGAATAATTTTCCACAACTGACGAATATGGCGAAAATTCAACGTTTTTTAAGGCCCGACAAAAAAATTCCGTTTAAGACCGGAAAATGAAAACGAAATTTGACATTTTAAATTTTCTCGTGTTTAAAATTTTTCAAAAATCTCAAATCCGGTTTTTTTAGTCACAAAAAGGGAGATTTCAATAGTGAGCCATGTATATGAACCACCCTGTAGAATACTGTTTGAGCCGTTTTTAGCGTATTTTCCTCAAAGTGAAAAATCGCTATTGGCTGCACTTTGTCATCCGTCCGCCCGTCCGTCCGTCCGTCCGTCACACGTACTCTTTCTACACCACTGAATAGATTTGGGCGATATGGGGCTCATTTGAAAGAGCTCGGTCCAAGGATTCTGTGCCTATAGATATTTTTTGATCTTGCGCATTCGCAGTGTCAAAAATTTGGATTAACGCATGTGCAATGCTAACTTTTATATTTATGAAAGCAATTAAATGAAATATCATATGTAGGCACTATGAGTGAAATCAAAATTTGTTTATATTTGTACAGGGTCCACTATTTTTCATGACAATAGGCGGCTCATTTGAAAGAGAATGGGTAAAGGATCTCGTGCCTACCGGTATTTTTTCCCAGTCTTAAAATTAATATTATTAGGAGGAAAATACGCTCGCGTCATTTGTGTTTGTATACTGAATTTTTAACTTTTTTTTAAAATTGCATAAGAGGTGCAAAAATGCATTTATTTAATTATTGCATAAAAATTACATACTCGTATAAACATATTAGGCCGGAAAATTTGCTTAAAAATCGTCACCTGAGGGTGTTCGAAGGGATCGGAGTCCATATCTGACCTCGAAATTGACCTGAGATGCTCAGGGGTGGCTCTACGGAGTGCGAGGGATGCTGTGGAGTGAGTGAAAAATTAACAGCGTCGGGAAATTCCTAGGAAATCGTTACTCGAGGGGTTTCGCGATCGTTAATTCTAGATAAGCCCTAGGGGGGGGGGGGGGGCACTACCGAGGTGCAATGAACTGGCTCGCTCACTCACGGGTTTTAGGGGTCGAGATCTTCCCTTAAAATTTCCCAGGGACACCCAGGAGTCTTGATACGGGGAAGGCGAGGGTGACTTTTGTTTTGAGTAACGTATGCTAGTCTATCATTGTACCTCCCGGCACCTCCGTGGATCAACCTCGGGCAATTTCGAGGGCACTTCTGCACTGGCCGGGCACGAAAACCCGTGACTATCGATTTCCGATCAATTTCTCGACACGGATAATTTTTCACCCCACTTCTTCCCCGTAGAGCTACCCCTGAACACCCTGTGGCAATTTTAAGGGTAGTTATGGACCGTGCGCGTTTCAATACCCCATAGTAACGATTTCTAAGCGATTATTGACGCGTAGATGAAGTTATGGGGCAACTTCAGGTCGAAGGAGAATCAGGATCGCCGATCTGTGGGGTCCAGGGTTCACGAGAGGTGGCGCGCCACTAGCGCCAGAGAACGAAAGGGAAAAAGTTGGAGAAGTCGGATGAGAGCGACTAAACTGTGAACAACCTTTATTTTGTTGTAAATTAGGGTAAGCGAATAAATTTTATTTTTTACATAGTGATCAAATCACCAGGTTTCGTTTTGTTACTTTCGTTTAATCCCTTTAATAAACAATAGCTTCAATTTTTGAGTAACAGTATCCCGAATATCAATGTTCAGACCTGTGATGTATCAAACTTAACGTTTAGGTTATGTGCCGAAAAACGATATTTTACGTTATATAGGCAAAATGACGTTTTTGACATTGATTATTCAATTTAACGATTTTTGAATTATTTGAATCGGATTAGAAAAAAATGAGGTTGAAACCTGACACCTTGGAAATCTGTTTCAGATTTGTATGTTTCACATAAAGAAGTTTTCTAGCAGTTTCAGTATTTACACTTATTCATAGTTCTTTTTATTCCACACATTAACAAAGTTAAAGCTTAACTAAAAATGTACCGACGCAACGCGACGTCCAGATAAATATCCCCACTCAATCATTCAGTGCTGCGGTGTACCAGAAACACCAAACTTAACGTACAGGTTATCTGCCAAGAAACGCTTCTTTGTCTTATTGACTATGAGCAAAATTACGTTGTCTACAGATAACCTGCACGTTAATTTTAACGTTAGTAATGCTTTGAACTATTCTTCCCGTTAAAACATTCTTCTCTGTTCAAAGTTTCTCCTCATTCGACACTTATATGTCGTACTTCTCGAGAAACCTCCGACTGACGTTTCTCGATAATTTCTAAAAATATACACATAATTAATATTTAATAAAGTACACAGTCCTCACTGTTGACATGGAATTTGCTTTTTTTTAAAAGGCCCTTGGTCGCATCATTTACCCGCCCAGGCAAGTAGCAAATGCGAGGCTTCGCCTTTGTGAGAATAAAATTTTTCCTAAGTTTCTGCCGCTCTTCCCACACCTCATAATCGCGCATGCGTGCCATTTGTAACTCCATCACCTCAATTTCGGCTTGCTTTCCCTCTCGGATGAAAAATAAGTCCCGTCGTTCTTTCTTTATTCTCGCTTTCTCTCTTAGTTCGCGTTCCTCAATCCTTTTTTCTATCCGTGCTCTTTTTTGCTCCTACAAATAGAAATTAGTCTCGTAACTGAACAGACTAGACGTACCTTTGACTTTAGCTTAGCTTCTTCCTGTTGAAACTTTTTCAAGGTACCCAAGAGAACCCTGAACATCCTACGGTTTCTCGCTGTGGATTTATCATCGGCGCTTTGGGCCGCTAAGGCTAACTGCCGACCCCGATCCACGCATCGGGTTACTATAAGTTTGATAATCAACTGTTTTTGTGGCTGTTGTAGAATTTTGACTTCGTAAGGTGAAGGTTTTTCGGAAAGCCGCCTTCGTTTATTGAGCGGCTCATCATGGTCGAAGTTACTCGTGTTTTCCTCAATAGGTAAATTCCTTTTAATTCCAGGTCGAGGGATTGTTTCAAAAGGGCATCTTCCCATTAGACGTTTTATGTTTTCATCTATGACTTTTAGACTACTTTTAGATCGCTCTAATTGTGATTGTAAGTCGCCGAAAGATTTTAATCTTGCAGTACCCATTGTGCTGAAGATATAAGGTTCATTTAATCAAAACATAAAAATTGGAAGCTCAGTTAATAACCCAAAACATGTATTGGACACAATTAGGTTTTTTTAGGATGGCATTACGGCGCACTCTCTAAATGAGACAAAAACCGAACACAATGGAATTGGGTTGGGATTGATATGATAACGAGAAAGATAACCTATTCGTATCTACCGAAATTGTGTTTCTGAATCACACAAACTCATAAATTATTTGTGAATTTTAAATTAAATATTATCTGGTATTCACAGTGAGGCCCTTACACGGACACGAACTCAAACTATACACGTCTCGACTCGAAAGCTCGGGGCGAAAATTAGCCGAGCATTCTAGTATTAATGAAAAGTTTCTATTCGTGTAGAGGGGAAAAATACCCATGCCTGGAGGGTAGGTAGCCGCACCACTTTGCTCTAATCTACACATAAAGTAGCCGAGGTGGTTAGTGGCCAGTAATAGGTTTAGAAAAGCTAAATCTGAATATAAGAAAACGCCCTTATGAATGAGTGTTCTATATATATTTGTGAAAAATGTCAGAGCGTAACTTCCCGGACGAATCTTCCGGGTGCCAATTTTTCATTGGCGAATCTTCTTGGGGGCGAATTTCCGAATGCTAACTTGCTGCAAATTGAATTGAAATTGAATCAAATTCCAAAGTGAGGTTTCAGTGTGATTCCGTTCAATACAAATTTGGTTTATTAGGGGATGCAAATTACAGTTGATATACCCTGTACATGTGTTCCCACAAGTTCCAACATTAGAATTTCTCGTTTAATGGCTAAAAAAACCACAATTTGGGGTGAACGTAAAATAAGCGAGAACAATTGAAGTAAGGGGAAATGAAGTAATAGTCGCGGAACTTACATGGGTAAATACGAGGTAAGGGGAAGATAAAGGTTGATTTATGTAGAAAGAAGGGTATCTTAGAGCGTTGGTAGAGGGAGAAAGTGGCAAGAGGAAGAAAATAAGATGGTGATATAGGAGATCAGTGGTTTAAGATGTAGAATAGAGTTGGGGTAACAAAGAAAAAGGATTAGTGAGACTAGAGAGGAAAATAAGATGAGCTAGGAGAGGAGGGGGAGGATAAGAGAGAGATAGCAAGTAAAGACGTACAATTCAGGGAGTTTGTCAGAGGATTCAATGGACCGGGGTTGGTGGAATCATGCATAGAAGAAAAGAACTGGAAGAAAATAAAGATTAGGTTACCGAACATAGAAGAACCAATTCGCAAAGAGGGAAAGCAGAAAACAGAAGAGCAGAAGGAGACATTTCACCAGAGGAAATAAAATATAAAGGAATGGGCGAATGAAACGAATGAGGATGAAGGAATCCATAATCGAAAAATGAGTGCAAGTGGAGAGGAAGAGGACGAGAGTGGTAACGATATATCACCGACAAGGAATGTAAGAGTTAAAACATAAATTAGAAAGATGAAAAGGGGGAGGAGACGCTAGTAAGGGGGGTGGGGGTGGGGGGATAGAGGAAATTGGGTGTAGATTGGAAGAGGAATATAAGATAGAACAAGAGACAAAGAATGCAAGAAGTTGCTACTTGAATTAATAGGAAAGAGAAAATATTAAACGGAAACATGGAGGGGGATAGATATGGGCAATATACATACATGGTAGGGAGAATGAGGTCTGTCATTGACTGCATACTACTAAACGGAAGAATTTTGGAAAAATATAAAATTTTAAGATAAGAACGAGTACAGAATCAGATCACCAAGCGATGGAAATATGGCTAACAGGGAAGATAAAAAGAGCAAGAAATGGAAAGCATCAAACACGAAGGGAGATACAATTATGGACAAGAAACGCGAGGGAGCATTATAAAAGGAGACTAGAGCAGCAAGTATATGAAGTAGGAGAGAGCACAGAGGAAATACGAAACTGATCAACGAGGAAGAAAGGGGAGATAAAAGAAAGGATATAGAACAATGACGGAGTACAAACAGATATGTAAGAAAAAAAGATGAAGAAACAGAATATGAAGCAGAAATCAGGGAAATTAAAACGGAGGGGAACTTTTGGAAGTTAATAAACAGAGGAAAAGGGAAAAACACATTTAGTGGGAGAGAAAAAATGGAAACAGCCCTTTATAAAGGTACTACAAGACAAGCAGGAGAACACGGAATGGTGGAAGAGAGGAGATGGAAGGAGACGAAATATCAAGAGAGATATAGAGTAAAATTAAAGAGAGTAACGAAAGGGAAGGGGGTAGAGAAAGACGAAATAAGAAATGAGGCTATATTTTCGCTACAGATCGCATTAAGGAGAAGCTGAGGAAACTCATAAGGAAAATGTGGAAAAGAAGAAGACTACCGGAAGAATGGAAGGAAGGGGTAATAGTACCGATTTACAAAAGAGGTGAGAAGGATACTGTATGGAAAATTATAGAGGGATCTCGATAATAACGACGGCGTATAGAATCTTCGCAATTATACTGAATACAAAATAAGAAAGAGAAGAGGGCGAGGAAACGCAAATGTGCTCTAGAAAATGGAGGGGGAAAATAGACTGTGTATATGATGTATTACACAATGGTGGAAAAGGAATTGGAAAAACATGGCGGAAAGGTGATAGTGTTTTTCATGGATCTAAAGGCAGCATTTGAGTAGAAAGGAAAAAAGTATGGAAAATGATGGAGGATGGAAAAATAGACAAAACATAATTAAAGAGAGGAGGAGAGATCGGAAGTAGGGTAAAGATATAAGGGAAGGAGTCTGAAGTGTTCTGGACAATAAAAGGATTGAGGCAGGGATACCCACTTAGCCCAATCTTATTTAATTTCTACATAGGGGATATGGAGAAACTATTAAGACAGAGTCAAAGTGGAGGAATCGTGATGGGAAGAAGGAAGAGTGTGGTCCTTAGTTAGCTTACGTGAATGACACAGTATTGTTGACAACACAGAGAAAGAATCTATCTATGGAGATTGTCTTTTTCCCTATTCTCTTTTCCCGGTAATCGGACTGAAGACATGTGTTTGACATTCTTAGAAGATCTCATTGGTTCAATGATAATCAACATTATGGAACGTGATGAGCGTTTCATAGAAGATGAGGTGATATTCCAACAAGACGGGGCTCCTCCTCATTATGTACAGAATACTAGACAGTTCTTGGACCTTAGGTTCCCTGGCAGATGGGTGGGACGGTCCTATCAGATCGCTCAGATAGGTCGCCGTTAATTTTTTTGTCGGCCCATTTGAAATTTAAATGCAGCTTAAATATTTAGAAGAGTAACGAATGCAGTTAGATTACCCCAGAAATTTTACCAAACGTCCGACACCATTTTGGACTAATATTCATTATTGTATGTGGTGGTCATTTTTTCCAGTAATTTTGAATAATTGTTACTGTTACGAAGTTAGGTCTGCAAATCCATTTAAATCAAGTTTCTCTGGAATTACTGATCGGATTTGAAAAATAAAAACAGTGCTGAAAATAGAATAAATATGCGTATTGAACTATCTAACGATTACCACCTTCTCATTTAAACTTTTTGGGATACAATTCACCCCCTTCACCGAGTGAAGTTACGTAAATCGTATGTCCCCCTCAACATTAAAATTGACCTGTTCGCGAACGAGCGTTTTTGGCAAAACTGTCCTCAAGCGGCCAAAATTGGCATTGGCTGTTTTCAGTTGGTAAGTTACAAATATTAATAAAGGTTTACCCGTTAGTCGCATAAAAATTTTTGCCATATTTCGCGAAAACTGTTGGAAAAACCCGATTTACATTTCCCATAAAAGTTTGTTTTATTATCTTTCCAACGAGCCCAAGATATTTAAAATCAGATAAGCGGTTACAGGTAGATCAACCGACCCCCCTTCCAAATTTGTTTAGGACGGCCAAACTTTAACAACCCTGATGATAACGACAAGAAGTAACTATCACTCAAAATTGTATTGGGAAATCTTAGCGAAATTGGCAAATTGACTTTTTGGTACCACATATTGTGGATTTTGGATAATAGAAAAGTTATTGAATTCTGTATTTCGAACCACTGAATGGCGCATGTGTAACATTTTTTATAATATGATGATGACTGATCTACAGGTAGGTATGAAAAAAGCTGTCTAATAAAATTGATGAACCAATTCGCCATTAAAAGATATATACGGTTGTCTTTAATTATTCGGTCGGTTAGGTACGATATATAATGTAATTGAAGATCACGGCGTTCAGATTTGCGTTTTCTTTGTTGCATCAAATCAAAGTCTTCAACAGGTGGTTGATCAAACTGAAAGAATGCGATATGTGTTGATGTAATGTTATGAATCAGATTAGTAAGGCCGATACAATTCCGTCGTGGCTATTATCCTCGGCGAGGACAGATATAGCGCGGTTTTCACACGCGGCGGCATCTCTGATCCATTGTTAGTATAAAATCAGCTTCGATCCGCCACGTTAATTAGAGGTTAGCGTTTAGTACGATACCAATCTATGCGTTTAATATCTATCAACGATCAATACACAGAAAGATTATGATCACGAACACAAGCTATACACGATACCGTTACAAATACGTTTTCAAACTCCCTTTTATAAAACACACCACGGAGCAGTTTCTTGGATTATTAAGTTTTATGGTTCAAAAAAATATTGCACAATTTTTTTATAAGCGCAGATGTAAATTTTAACTACTTTGAAAAACATCAAATTAACTTAAAAGCTAAAAGGTTTTGATTGTAACTTTGTCACTTAGTACGGAATCTTTCTCAACTCAACTATAAACTATTTATTTATTAATTGTAAAACTACGTTTGTACCGGATTTGATTATCATTGCCGCGTATAAAATTCTAGAAAAAATCGAAAACACGCAATAAAATCAACTTAATGGTAATCATTCGAGGATAAGTATTAGTTTACCTCAAGACATAAAAGTAAAGTTTAAAATTCCAAAATGTTCCAACTTGCATTAGGTAATCTATATTTAAATTAATTTAAATCCTTTATTTGTCGGGTTCAAATTT